AAGAAAAAGATTAGGAGAACTACCTAATGTAGATGATGTGGGGATGGAGGCAGCAAACCACCATGGCGTGTGTATACCTATCTAACAATCCTGCACAATCTGCACATGTATCCTAGAATTTAAAGTATAATAAAAAGAAAAAGCAAGTGTCCGAGCAGGGATGGGATCCTGGGGTGAGTGCTAATACTACGATCAGCTCCTGTTCACCGTGCCCTGGGCCTGATGCGCCTAACCTCATTCTATCCTTAGCACACTCTGAGTGGAAAGAGACCACTGTGGCCCCCAGTACATACCCCCAGTACACACATTAAAGCCGGAAGTTGGGGGCTTTAATCTAGGCCCTCAGCGCCATGGAGCAGTTCCCAGACTTGAAACTAGGCTCTGTGATTTCGAGGTCTGAACTCTTAGCCTCAGCCCTGCTCTTGACTCTGACCTTTTGGGGAGAGTAGGGATGGGCAGGACAAAGGCGTTTCTTCCTGGGGCAGTGGCAGAGTGAAGGCCCCAGACAGAAGCAAACAAGATCCGTTTGTGGGAGGGAGAGGAGCCGTGTTCCAGGATCCTGTGGAGAGCAGGGCCAGCGGTGCCCAGCAGGACACACTGGCGTGTGGCAGGGGCCACAGATGCCCAGTGGAGTTGCCAGGGGTGGCCACAGTAGCTTCCAGCAGGGGATCCACAGGGCAGAGCTTGGAGTGACCTGGAGCTGGGTAAGGTCGACATTCTGGGGTGGAAGACTGGCTTTGGAGGAACTCACTGGGGTAGGTGTCCCCCAGGCTGCCATCCAAGCCGGAGTAGGAGCCTGTGGGCTTGGCAGTTTGGGGAAGTCCACATGCTGGAGCTGAGGGGCAGCTGGGCTGGGACAGGTGGGCAAGAGTCACTGGGGACTTAGGTCTGGCCCAGTGGACTACTCTGGGGTCTATGTGAAGACCAGGGCGTTTCTCCTCCCAGCGGGACGGAGAGAGTGGGAGGGGCGGGATGACCTCTAGTCACCTGGACTGTCTGGCTCTTCCCCAGATTAAAGAGCTGAGGGTGAGTGTCTGGCAGCCAGATGAGTCAGACTGGGAGGCTTCTCTCTGAGCCTGGCTGCCTCCTTCCTCCAGCAGCCCTGCCTCCTGCTAGAGGTAGGAGTTGGAGTTCGGCCTGTCTCCTCTCGAATGTCGTTCCCCCCACATCCTGAGACTTAGGGGTGACCCTGAGTTGAGTGGGCTGGTTTATTCTGCTGGGCACAGCACATGCATCTGAGTGTGTGCCCAGGCGTGCGCGACGGTGCAAACATCAGCCATTGTAAAATATCAGTGTTTTCATGGGTGAGTAGTAATTACTGGGTAATGCTTTAAAACCTTTCCTGAAGGAGCGCAAAGCGGTTTTTTTCTAAAGTCGGGAGTACATTAAAAGGATTACCATGTAGATTTGATTTTTAGATAACACTAAAATGGATCCCAAATGGACTTCAGCAAAGGGATGCTATCTCCTTAATGGAAAGTGCATGGCCCGAGGCTCAGGTCCCAGAGCCAGGCTGGGGAAGGAGGGAGGGAAGAGGTGTCCGCAGGGGGCAGGCTGGCAGACTGGCTGGGGGGCTAGGTGGGAACCATGGGAGGCAGGGCAGGAGGAAGGGCCCAGACCCTGTGGGGAGCTTATCCCTCCATCTGGGGAGCAGACTGCAGAGCCCCTCCTGAAAGCCCTTCCCCCTTTCCAGGAGTGTTTTAAGTCTCCGTGGCCAGCCGGTGAGAGCAGACACAGCATGGGTGTCCCATGAGGAAGGGTGTTTCCACTGTTTTGTTTGACCCCCAGACCTCCTGTGAGAAGCAAGGGATTGCTTCAATGTTTCTTATGGGCAGATGGAGGAACTTAGGCCCAGAGAGACTAGGGGGTTATGCTCTGGACTGCAAACCTACAGTCTGGTCCCAGCCCCATCCCACGGGGCCGCCATGGCTCAGGATTCCCCCAGGACACCAGCCTTTCTCACTGGGAGGTCTGTAGACCCAAGGGTCTCTAGACGCTCTGGGGCCTCCTCCACCAGGCTGACCCTGGTGTTCCATGTCTCAGTGGACCTGGGACACTTTGGCACTTTGGCGGAAGCCGTGTGGCCTTTTTTTTTTTTTTTTTTTTTTGAGATGGAGTTTTGCTCTTGTTGCCCAGACTGGAATGCAATGGCGCTATCTCGGCTCACCGCGAGCTCCGCCTCCCGGGTTCAAGCGATTCTCCTGCCTCAGCCTCCCTAGGAGTAGCCGGGATTATAGGCATGTGCCACTACACCCGGCTAATTTTTTGTATTTTTAGTAGAGATGGGGTTTCTCCATGTCGTTCAGGCTGGTCTCGAACTCCTGACCTCGTGATCCACCTGCCTCGACCTCCCAAAGTGCTGGGATTATAAGCCTGAGCCACTGCACCCAGGCTGCTTGTGTGGCTTCTTTAAGAGTTCTCCAGAGCCCAGCAATCAGTTCAGCAACCCAGAAGAGGGGTGTCCAGGACTTAAGGTAACCTGCCTGTGCAGGGCCAGCCTGGGCACGGGCAGCAGGGAGGGGCCTGAGGCAGCTGGCAGCTTCGCCCCTCATGGCTCTGCAGGGTCCTCTAGATGCCCCATCTCTCTAGTGGAGAGACTGGGCTAGCGCTGTAGTTCACAGCCCCGTGGGAGCCAGGAAAACATACTGGGGGCCCAGCTTGGAAAACCGGCTTGTCCAAGAGCCAGGGCAGATGGAAGAGAGGGTGGGGCAGGTGCTTCAAGTGCTGGGGTCTCTCATGGTCTCCCTTCACTGTGGGCTATAATTTAGAGAGCTAGGGTATCTCAAGTACGGATGCTCCAGCCATTCACCCACCTTCTGGTAACAGCCCAAGTGTAGCGCATTGGGAGCAGCTCAGGGCCACTGGGAAGGGAGCCAGGCCTGCGGCGAGCCTGACTGAGCACAGGAGCATCAGCCTGCTAGGGGCTGGATCAGCGGCCTGGTCCGGCATTTTCCAAGTTGGTTTTTGAATGTGTATCTCTGCTGGCGGCACGATCCCTGCACAGGGCCTGGGGATGAGGTCCTGCCCTTGGAGCCCTACCCTGGCCCTACCCTGGCCCAGGTCCTACCCTGGGAGCCCCCTCATTTCCCCATCAGCTGTTTTAACCCCTCCCCCATTTCCCCACACCTCCCTGTAGGCCGGGACTTGTTTAGCTCTTGGGGGTACCTGCTCCCCAGCTGCCCTCCCTGGGCTCTCTCAGAGCTCTGTGCTGGGCTGGGCCCTGCCGGAGGAGACACAGGAAGCCCAAGAACAGTCATCCTGTGCCCCATCCCACTCTCAGACCAGTTAACCTTTACAGCTGCTTTAAGGAAATTAGGCGGCAAACTTCCCAGCTAACAGGCCCTGCGGGGACTGGAGGGAGGAGGAGGAGGGGGCCCACTGGCCCTGCGCCCTGCAGCCTGTGGGTGGGTGCCTGCTCCCCAGCCTCACTTGTCCAGGAGAAGATTGAGGAGGCAGCTGGGCTGAGAGCGAGCACAGGAGACGGGAAGGAGCCCTGGGGCCGCTGTAACTATCTGAGCCTCAGTTTCCCCATCTGTAGAATGAGAGCATTTGACTGGGAGAACTCTGAGGGCTCTTCTGACCTTACATCTGTGGATTCTGATACCAAGGCGTCTTGTGGTTGGCTCTCCCCGGGTGCCCCAGGAGGAGGGAAGCAAAAGGAAGAGAAGCGGCCCAGCTGCTCAGACTGTAGGCTGGGGGCAGTGAGGAAGGCGGGGATTGGGAGGGACACCAGGGGATGGGAGGAAGGCCAGAGCCCTGGAGAGAGCGGGGGTCCTTTGGAGAGGATGGGGCCAGTGGGAGGACAGCCTCCGGGGGAGTGTTGGAAAGCCGGAGGGGCTGGCCTAGAGCCCACTCCCCCATCCAGCTGCACCTGAGTCAGGGACAGAGCGTGCACACCCTCCTTGTCTTCACAAGGGTCCTCAGGCAACTCCCACAGGCTCCCGCCCTGCAAAGTCACAGAGCAGGGCTTCCAAGGCTCTCTGCACCTCCCTCCAAGCCTCACGGGGCCACATGGATGTCCAGGCTACTGTACATCTGTCCCCATCTTCTCAACTGTCACTGTGGTCCCAGGAGGCGGGACTGGGAGCCTCTGTCGCTTCGTGCCCACACCTGTACATTGTGTATGCGCGTGAGGGGCATGTGTGAGCACACATGCTTGCCTGCGAGATGGGAGCCTCTGCCCCGTGGTAAACCTCGTGCTGGGCTCCTGCCCTTTGTGCTTGGGGCTTGCGTGTATGTTGAGAAGCCGGTATGGGCCCTGGGAGGGGCTGATGCCTGAGAGATCCTAATCCTGGTAGAATGAGGAAGGATCCAGAGGCTCAGAGCCTGCCCTCCCCCAAGCCAGAACAGGTGAGGTGTGACACCGGCTGAAGCGCCCCCAAGGGGAGCCCTGGCCAGGCCCCGCCAGCTGCCTCCTCTTACCTGCCAGGACCCCCAGAGCCGCTGTCCCCTCCTGGGAGTGTTCCAGGGGCATCTCACTTCCTTTATGATGCCACCACAGTTCTACACGGTTAGAACAAGAGGCTGTAGCCTATCAGTTTGAGAAAGACAAGTTGGCAAAAAAATCTGGAGATTCTAGTGGACCTCACGGGCCTGAGGAGACCACATTTCTTAGGCTCATTGCTGGAAGAGCTGATGTGATGGTGGCCTTGCAAGGCGAGGCTTCGGGCTTACTCCGGATCAGACCGCACAGGGGATAGAGGCCTGGGCAGAGAGGAACAGCTCAGGGAGGCCAGGCCTGGGGTCTTTGTGTGCCTTGGAGCAGAGCAGCCTCCGGAGGGACCTTCACAGGGCCAGGGGAACAGGCTGTGCCATGCAGCCCAAAGGGCAGGACCCAGAACCAGGGGAGGAGGTTACTGGGGAGAAAGTAAGGGCTCCTGGGAGCCCCAAACCTAGAAGAGGCAGCAGCAAGCAGTGAGCTCCCCATTCTTGGGGGATATTGCTTGAGGCCCAGAGCTACAGGGCCCATCCGGCATTGCTGTCTGTCTGTCCATCTGCAGGTGTACCGATGCTCTCCGTCCAACCCAAAGGGAAGCAGAAGGGCTGCGCGGGCTGTAACCGCAAGATCAAGGACCGCTACCTGCTGAAGGCGTTGGACAAGTACTGGCACGAAGACTGCCTCAAGTGTGCCTGCTGCGACTGCCGCCTGGGCGAGGTGGGCTCCACCCTCTACACCAAGGCCAACCTCATTCTGTGCCGACGTGACTACCTGAGGTGGGCCACCCCCCGAGCCCTCGTCCTGCTCAGAAAGCCCCTATCCTCAGCCCCAGTGTGACTGTGCCTCATTCTTGAATGTCCCGCCCCTGCGCTGCTCGCCCCAGCTGTCTGAGAAGTCGCCTGAGGGCAGGCCAGGTCTCTACATCCTTGGACTCAGTGCTCAACACAGGTCTGGGCAGGCATTTGTAACCCTGGGCCCCTGAGTTAAGCTTCCTGAGGCCCAGCCTGCCTCTGCCTCTGCCTTGGCCAGGTGCTTTTGACCCACCTGTTTTGAAATCTGGGAGGGGATACCTCAGAGGGGCTTTGAGAAGCACGTTGTAAGCTCTGACTTAACTGGGCCCCTCCTCCCTGATGGAGTCTCCTTCTGACCCATCTCCCAGTGCCCAACCTTCCTTTCCAGGTGGTCCTTGGGAGCAGGCATCCATCTGCCCAGAGCTCCTGGCAGATGGCCATATCCTAGGAGCAAGGCCACTGCTGCTGGGGCTTGGAGACCTGGGTTGGAGCTGGCTCTGAGCCTTTGGCTCCTAACCTTCTCCCGGCCTCAGTTGACTACTCCCCACCCCCATGAAGGGTGAAAGAACGAGACTTCCCTGCCTTGCATTCCTCTGAGCTCTCACTCACCCTCCCCACAACCTGGATCCTATTCCCTGGGGCCATTTATGACATCAGCAAGGCTGGAAGGAGGCCACAAAGCAGGGCCTTGGCTGAGACCCAGCACCTGCATTTGGCTCTGTCGCAGGCTGCTGGATGGTGGCTGGGCTTGTGGGGGGCTTGTGGCTGGGCTTGAGGGCCCATTGCGTTAATTAACAGGTCGGGGCAAGGGCTTCATGAGGCTCTCTCTGCCCATGTCTGGTCATGTTGTGAAAGGGAGGTTATCAATGGAAGCTCCTCCACTTCCCCAGGGATCCTTTGACTGACCTGCCTGCACCTTCTCTTTAACACCCGCATTTAAAAGTGATGCAGTAAAACAGGATCTGTGACTTGGTGCTCCTGGCCAGGGCTGGAGGGGAGAGGCTGAAGCCAGGAGCAGGGGTTAAGGAAGAATGTTCAGGCTAGGCATGGTGGCTCATGCCTATAATTCCAGCACTTTGGGAGGCCGAGGCAGGCGATTCACTTGAGCTCAGGGGTTTGAGACCAACCCTGGGCAACATGGTGAAACCCCATTTCTACAAAAAAAAAAAAAAAAAAAAAAAAAAAGCCAGGTGTAATAGCTGCACACCTATAATCCCAGCTACTCAGGAGGCTGAGGTGGGAGGATTGCTTGAGCCCAGGAGTTTGAGTCTGCAGTGAGCTGTGATCGTGCCACTGCACTCCAGTTTGGGTGACAGAGTGAGACCCTGTCTCAGAAAAAAAGAAAAGAAAAGAATGTTCCTGGGAATTCACCCCTTGAGGGCCTAGAAGTGGCCTCCATGTCTGGAGGTTTAGGGCATCACCTGGGAACAACCCTTTCAGGGTAGGACGACGTGACAGACCATTGGATGGTTCCACAGGACTTGGAGGGGGAGGTCCACAGTTCAGGAGGCACTTGGCAGGAAAACGCACCCACAAGCATCCAGGGCCCTAGCAGCTACTAGGGACAGAAGGTAATTTTTTTTGCTCTGGCAGAGGCAAGGAATGACTGTAGGGCCAGTGAGGCCCCTGGGCTGGGATAGGAGCGTGGCTTCCTTGAGCTGCTCAGCCCTGGCGAATGGCTGTCCAGAGCCTGCGCCCTCTGCAGCCCTATTCATTGGGCTGATGGCAAGAAAAGTCCCTCTTGGCAGGCAGATGCTGTGGCCCAGCCTTTGTCTGCCTTAATCTGAGCCACCAGGCAGCTCAAGCTGATAAATAATGGAGCCAAGTTCATCTGCAGGCGCCTGAGCTTGAGCTGGATCCTTCAGGGATTAGAAGGGCCTCCCCCAACTTCTCAGCCTCCTTGCCTCACTCGGGGCTTGCTCCATCCCTGTGCAGGAAAGCAGCAAGGAGGAGCTGGGGTGGCTCAGACCATTGGGACATCCAGCCAAGTGTTAGCCTGCATGGGGACAGAGTAAACTCCCTGTCCCTAGAGCTTTAGAGCCAGCAGCTAAGAGGAGGGATGCCTGCCTCAGGCATTGGTGCCAGATGTCCTTGGAGCTTCCTTTGGACATCAGTTCTGTTTTACAGCATCTTTGAATACAATCATCCGTCCCTATTTTACAGCAGGATAAACTGAGGTTCAGAGAAAGGAAAAAAGGGACTTAGGCAAGTGACACGGTGAGTTTGTCATGGAAAAAGGATCTAATGAAACACTTTAACTCTGGCAGGGCACAGTGGCTCACACTTGTAGTCCCAGCACTTTGGGAGGTCGAGGCAAGAGGATCACTTGAGGCCAGGAGTTCGAGAACAGCCTGGCCAACAGAGTGAGACCCCCATCTCTATTTTAAAAAAAATAAAATAAAAAACACTGTGATGTTAACGGTAAGAAAAACATCACACAGTGGTTTAGAGCACACCTTCTGGAGCAAGGCCTTGTGCAAGCTGTTCTCTCTGTGACTCGTTTTTTAAACCTTTAAAGTGGGGAATAATAATAGTATCACCTCCTAGGTTTGTTGTGAGGATTAAGAGTTAATCTTTGTAAAGATCTTAGAACAGTGGCTGACACATAGTGAGCACTACCTAGGTGGTTGCTTAGTGAGCTGTGACTGAGAATGTACAAGGGGTTTCACAAGCACCCCATGAAAGGTGTGTTTCGGACTTTGACAGATGAGGTAAATGAGGCTCCGAGAGACTCACCGACTTGCCTGAGGACACACAGCCCAAGATCCACTGTCTGTCCGTGAAATTTAGGCCTGTGTGGGTCTGGAGCCCTTGTTCAAAGCCCAGCCTAGGATTCTCTTGGTGACTCTAGGGCTTGAGGACCCTTGTGGGAGCCTGGGAGGGGGCCTTGGGATGGGCAGTGACAGCCAGCTCCTGACCACCTACACACCCTCCCTGGAGGGGGATATGCCTATTTCTTGGAAGCCAGCTCTCCAGGCAGAATATAGATGCTGCCCTCGGTGCTCTTACCTCCTTTCATGAGCCCACCTGCCAAGCCCACAAGCTGGAGGATGGGAAGGACCCTGGAGGCAACCCCTTTCCCCTGCCCACCCAGTTCCCCAGAATGCTGCTGAGACCTCTGTGCCCTTCCCTCGGCAGGCTCTTTGGCACCACAGGGAACTGTGCTGCTTGCAGCAAGCTGATCCCAGCCTTCGAGATGGTGATGCGGGCCCGGGACAATGTGTATCACCTCGACTGCTTCGCCTGCCAGCTCTGCAACCAGAGGTCAGTGCTGGACTGGCAGACCCAACACACTCCTGATACGCCAGCCTGAGGCCTGCTGGGATGGGCCAGGGGCACGGTGGGGATGTGCATGCAAAGGCAGCTTGCGTGTGTGTATGTGGCGCTGTGTGCAGGTTAGGAGCGTGCATGTGCTTTATGTGTTTTTGGGGTTTTTTTGTTTTTTTTTGTTTTTGAGACGGAGTTTCACTCTTGTTACCCAGGCTGGAGTGCAATGGCGCGATCTCGGCTCACTGCAACCTCCGCCTCCTGGGTTCAAGCAATTCTGCCTCAGCCTCCTGAGTAGCTGGGATTACAGGCACGTGCCACCATGCCCAGCTAATTTTTTGTATTTTTAGTAGAGACGGGGTTTCACCATGTTGACCAGGATGGTCTCAATCTCTTGACCTCGTGATCCGCCTGCCTCAGCCTCCCAAAGTGCTGGGATTACAGGCTTAAGCCACCATGCCCGGCCCTGCTTTATGTGTTTTATGTGTGTGTAAGCACGGTAGCCAAACATGTGCACTCAAATACTGGATGTGCACATCTGTGTGGCACATTTTCGTGTGAATGTAATGGAGGTGTGCCTGAGTTTACTGCGTACGCATAGTGAGCATGCATGTGCATGCATGTGTATTTATAAATGTTACGTGCACACGTGCATGATGGAATTAATAGGCAGTTGTACACATGCTTTAAATGTCTGTGATATGCAGATGTACATGTGTTTTTAAATGTCTGGAGGTGTGTGTGTATTTGTGCAATGTGTGTGCATGATGAGGTGAGTATACATGTGTATACATGTTTCATTTTATTTTTTAAGATCGTCTCACTCTGTCGCCCAGGCTGGAGTGCAGTGGCATGATTTCAGAATCTCAGCCTATGGCAGCCTCCACTACCTGGGTTCAAGTGATTTTCCTGCCTCAGCTTCCTGAGTAGCTTGGACAACAGGCACGTGCCACCACACCCAGCTAATGTTTTTTTTTTGCATTTTTAGTAGAGATGGGGTTTCACCATGTTGTTCAGGCTAGTCTCAAACTCCTGACCTCAGGTGATCTGCTCATCTCAGCCTCCCAAAGGGCTGGGATTCCAGATGTGAGCCACTGCCGCTGGCTTGTATACATGTTTTAAATGTGCATGTGCATGGGATAATGTATCCTCATGCCCCTTTATCCAGTGTGTAGTATGTGTATATGTGTGCATGTATGTTCCAGTGGGAAGGGGTTCCCAAATCTGGAGGGCAAAGTCCCCTCAGGGAGTGGCCACTCTCTCCTGACCCCACCCTTGCGATTCTGGTTCCAGCCCAGCCTCTTTTCTGATCTGTTGGCCCCAACTCTGTGCCCTAGCCCTGTGGGAGGCCCTGGGGGGCCTAGCACCAGAAGGCAGGTGCTTTTCTCAGGAGCCCTCAGGTCAGGTAGGAAGTGAGGTTCAGAGGGACCTACAGGGAACGCTGGTCTGACTGGGGGCCCTGGCCGGACCTGCCGCTAGGAGGGCTCCGTGAACTTACGGCGCCACCTGGTGGTTGGACTGGGATCCGCTGGAACTAGGCCAGCGACCTTGGGGTCTCACTAAAGGCTTCACCCACCCTGGGGACATCTTTGGGGAAAGGACTGGAATCTTCCAGTCCTTGGGGAGGACTAGGAGACCAAAGAAGGGCCTTCCTTGGGTAGGAGAGGAGATAGTGGAACAGGGTCACTTCCTAGAAGGATGCTCAGGTAACCACCGATTTTGTTGAGAGGAAGAATGTCCTGTACTGAGCCATCGTCTTAAACTGGGGAGAGGGACAGAGGGATGGGAAAGCAAGCATCCTATCCCTCCCTCCTTGCCCATCTCCGCCCTTCTCCATCTCTCTTCCCTCTTGCTCTTTTTCTGTCTATCTTTCCCTTTCTCCCTCTCTGGGACTGGGGTAGGCTGTTCCTGTACCTCTCCACCAACCCCCAACCCCACACTCACCTCCACAGGAGACCAGGCTCAACCATCTGTCTGTCCTATTACCCCACGCTGCAGGGCCTGGCCAACGGTGGCACTGGCCCAGGGGAATCGCCCAGATGTGCTATAGGGACTTTTATCTGCCCCCTCTGGAAGGTTCAAGGAACAAACTCCCCCACCACCTCCCACATAGCCCACCTCCTGGGCCATGCTGGCTTCTGTCTGCAGCCCCCTCTTACCCACTGGGACCCTCCAACCCCATGGCTTCTCTCTCTTGCTTCGATTTTCCAGATTTTGTGTGGGAGACAAATTCTTCCTGAAGAACAACATGATCTTGTGTCAGATGGACTATGAGGAGGGGCAGCTCAATGGCACCTTTGAATCTCAAGTTCAGTAACGCCTGGCGCCTGGCCTCCAGGCCCGTCTGTCCGTCAGCCCATCTGCCCACCCGCCCACCTGCGTGGCCGGCCGGCCAGGTACTCTACCAGTGCAGGCTGGCCAGCCGCTCTCCTGCTGCGTTACAACTTCTCCGTCCTTAATGGGAGGGATGGCCCTTCCTCCTCCACCGCCGCCCGTCTGTGTGTGACCCCTCCTGGGGCCAGGCTGGGCCTGTACAGTCTGTCTTCTGTATATAAATGGGAACATTTATTTTATGAGAAATGTAATGCGATTTTATTACTGGCGTGGATTAAACTTATGAATGTTTCCGGGGAGGTTACTCTGCGTTGTTCATGTGACTGACACAGACCTGGAGCCTCCTCCGCTCTGCCTCTCAAGGGCAGGGCACAGAGCAGGGTGGGGCCTCCAGCATACGCTGTTGCTGGGCAGGGGAGCAACAGGTTGGCTTTAGGGGAAGAAGCTGGGAGGAAGGGGACAACTCAGAGCTTCCAGCCCCAGCCAGAGGTGAGACCTGGGGTGTCGTCCCTCTTGGAGAGCACATACCCTGGCCCTGAGTAGGTCCCCAAGAAGAGAGGCAAGATGAGGCCTTCCATATCCTGTGTTCCATCCCCTCTGTTGAGACCCCAGACTGACTACACAGATGGGGACCCAGCTCTGGCCTTTTCCCCAGGAGGACCGCAAATCTTGTGTCCCCTGCCACGGGAGCACCATGCTGAAACCTCTCTTTCCTTTCAGGGTGACAGACAGCAACCTGTTGTCTCTGCCCAGCAGCTGGGGCCCAGCTTTCTGCTCTTCTGAGCAGGCAAGAAAAGTCCTGTTTCCTTTCAACTCAGCCCATAGAGTCTGGAGGCAACCGTTTATTCAGTCAGCAAACTGCAGCAGACACCGCGCCTCAATCCCATGCTGCAAGCAGGGGTGACCTGCAGCAAATCACATGTGAGGATGGATCATAGATCAGACACTGTTCCTGCCCTTGGGGAGCTTGCTGTGGGGGTGGAAAGCAGAAGCCAGGTTGCGGGGAAAGCCAGGAAAACAAAGCACGTCGTGGTGAGGACAGAATGCTGTGCGGAGACCTGGAACAGGCCAGTTCCCTCTGGGGGACACAAGGCCACTTGTGATGACTTAAGAGAGTCGGAGATGGACAAGTGAGTGGACATATGGTCAGACAGAGACATGGGCTGCAGGCAGGAAGGACGGACACACAAGTAGACAAGTGTGCAGGCAGAGACGGGCGGGCGAGGCAGAGGCGGGCAGGCCCCATCACTCAGCTGCAGCCAGAAGACAGCCAGAGCTGCAGCGGACAGGCAGACCCCCGGGCGTTTTCCACCTCCCCAGCTAAGTTAGATTTACTCCAGGCAGCAGGGATGCTGTCTTGGTGGTGGCTGCAGCCACCGTGCCAAGCACAAAGCCTGGAACTGTAAAGGCACCATCTCACTGGGCAATACAAAAAAAAGAGAGGCTGCTTGAGTCCCCAGCCTGGACAGAAAAAGTCGCATGGATAGGCTCCCCCACCACCAGACCACTCACTCCTCCTTCCGGCTGCATTTTCACCGTAGCCACAGCCCAGCCAGGCTACTGCCTCAAGCCCTGCCTGCTCCTGAGCAGGGAACGGGCGGGGCTGGGCTGGATCCCCACCTCACCCTCCCCAGGCCTGCTTCTGCACTTGAAAGTGGAGGGATGGCTGGGCCCTCCTGGGTGCTTGCAGGAGGCTTCCTCTCCAAGTTGTGTCTTTGTGGTCATTAGCCCAGTTTGTGAAAAGGGATTGCTAGGGCCAAGTATTGTGGGGCAGGAGTTCTCAACTGTATGTGCGAGAAGAGAGGCGACAGCCAGTGGATCTGGCCACAGCGGGTGTTTGTGGGAGACAGGGTCTGAGGTGAACTGGGAGCTGTCCGTACGTGAGCACATGGGATTGTGGAGGAGCTTGAGTGAGGAGAGACACAGCGGGCTAGAGTTGATAAGGAGGAGTTTTCTTGCTCAACATGAAAAAGCAAATAATTTTCCTGCACTGTAGCAGAGCCCCCAGTGCTAGACTCCCTGGGCCCTTCCGTCTAGATTGGCTGTGCCCAACCCAAGGGCCCCAACTTTTAACTTCAGGGTTTGCTGCAGATAAAGTTATAACACAAGTTAATTACATGGTTATCAAGAGATAACGGAGCCACTCGAATGCAGTTTCTGGGCAATTACAATTGTTTCCAACAGAGTTACCATATTGCAGCCATGAAATAACATGTCATTTTGCAGTAATTATGTAATTAACTTGTCTCACCACTCTAGGTTGCACAACAATTAATTCACTCACAATAAGATAGAGTCAAACTCAGGCAGGCGGGGTTTGCAAGCCCCCAAGAACACAGCTGGCCTTCCAAGAAGACCCCAGCCCCACCCCGCTCACCCCAGACCTTGTCAAGGGGCTTCCCCAGCTCAACATGGCATGGAATTTGCCAAGTTCGGTATCATGGACCCAAGTGTTGCTCTCTCAACATCCCCATCTGGGAAATGGGGATGATCTGATTCCCAGGTCAGCCACAGGCCCCAGATCTACACTGTGAAGTGCTGTGCTTACATGAGCTACAGTCAGCATCGTGGATATGGATATGAGATCCTGAGTAGGAGACCCTCACCAGCAAGTCCAGTGTCAGTCCACAGATACCCCCAAGAGGCCACATGGGCCTCATCTCAGTAAGTGTGAGATAGGAGGGTAGCGGGGCAGCTCACTCTGTAACAGAGAGACTGGGGTGGGGCAGGAATGGCTACCAAGGTCTGGGGACTATGCACCTGGAAAAGACTCGCAACACCCAGAGGTGACACAGGAGAAGCCTGAATTGCTCCCCAGTCGCTGCATAGGAGAAAGTTGGTTAAATGTAGGGCATGAATTGTCTGGGCGTGGCTCTCCTTGGAGGCTGCAGCCCACGACAGATGATTGGTGCGGGGAGAGAGAGCTGAGTGTGGACTGTTAGAAGCTGCGGCAGCTTGCACCTCAGCCTGGGGCTTGTGGGCGGTGGGGAATGTGAGCCAGCATTGAACATAGTGTGCACAAATCTCCCCTCTCCCAGCCAGATCTTGGGACCTCATCCCCTCTCCCTGCCTTTCTTGGTGGTCTGGGGTCACAGATACCTTAATAGGGGAGCCTGGGGCCCATGAAATATGGCACCTGCTTATGTTCCCGCTCCTTGGCTTGAAGCTGGACTGCACAGCCCGTGTTTGGAAAGAAGTCTGATTCCAATCTTAACACTGCTGCAGAGCCCATCATAAAATCTCCTGTGAATCCTGTCTCCTCCTGGGCCTGCTCCCAGAACATCATAAGACATGTGAGGCCACAGGCAGGATCCACATGACATTCCTGCCTGGGAGATCTCATCTCTACAAGGAGGCAATTGCTCTTTCCCTTAAAGCTGTCAGAGACCATTCATGGCCAGGATTTTTATTCTAGGGCAGCGTCCTTCTCCTTCATGAGAGTTGATGGGAAGTCTCCTGAGCACCAGGGTCCCCCCAAACACCTGTTTCTCCCTCTCTTCAGATGACCAGGCTCCACAACACTCAAGACTTCCAGTGGGTGCTGCCTGGACCCCTTCTCTCTAAGTTCATGTGCTCTGAGCCCAGGACAAACAGCCAGGTCCTCGGACTGTCCCCCTAGCGCTGGGTTTTTCAGAGGTTATTGCCTTTGCCAAGAAAGTCTGGGCCCCTCAGAGCCCGTTGGCTGCCTGTATCACCTGGGCTGGGGTCTGTGCTTCCGTGGTCCTCAGGCCTTCTCCAGGACACCACATTCCAGAGAGGAGCTGGTTCAGGGGCTCATGCCTGGGGCTTTCCTTGCAGACTCTTACTGCCTGGATCTGCTCTGGGAGCACAGTGAAGCCTGTTGGGGTGGGGGTGAGGTGGGGGGGGCAGCTCTGGGGTTTCCTGAAGTTCCAGCAAGTCCAGTTTTGTCTTCCAGAGCTCAAAGGTGTATGGAAACTGAGGCAGTTCCAGGGCCACATTTGTTGTTCTCATGGGTCTGCCTGCTGCACTTGGGGAATTGAAGGGCTCTCCTGACACGGGGCCAGAGGGCTCATTACCCAGGCTCCCTTTCTTTGGCTACCATTCTAATTCTTGAGCCCCTGGCCCATCGGTACTGGGTGGGATCAGGGATCAGAGACAGAGCACTGAGGCAGAGAGGGATAGAGGAAGAGATGAGAATGAATAGGGTGTGGTGTGGTGGAGGGAGAGAAAGAGAGATGGTAATAGAGGGGGAAGATGGAAAGAATTGAGGCAGAGGGCAGGAGAGGAGAGAGGGAGGGAGGGAATGGGAAAGCATCCCAGAAGAAGCGTCTATCTTCAAGGAAGGCGTGGGGTGAGGGCACTGCAGTGGAAAGGGCAGCATGGCATGATGGTCACGTGCACAGGCCCAGGAGCCAGATGACGTGAGTTCAGATCCTAGCTCCACCGCTTGACAGCTGCACGGCCTGGGGCAGCCTACTTAGCTTTCATCTTGCAGATAAGGACTTTCCTCATCTTTTTTTTTTTTTTTCTTTTTTGAGACAGAGCCTTGCTCTGTCGCGAGGCTGGAGTGCAGTGGCACGACCTCGGCTCACTGCAACCTCCGCCTCCCAGGTTGAAGCTATTTTCCTGCCTCAGCCTCCCGAGTAGCCGGGATTACAGGCGTGCACCACCACACCCAGCTAATTTTTGTATTTTTAGTAGAGACAGGGTTTTACCATGTTGGTCAGGATGGTCTCGATCTCTTGACCTTGTGATCCTTCCGCCTCAGCCTCCCAAAGTGCTGGGATTACAGGCATGAGCCACCGCGCCGGGCCGACTTTCCTCATCTTTAAAGGGGGCTGATGATAGTGCCTGCATCTCAGGCTGCCCGCAGCAGTAGATGAGCCATCACACAGAAGATGATCACCGCTGCAGCAGCTCCTGGTGAACACCAGAACATGTAACCGCTGCTGGGAACCTTCACTTTATACAACCAGCACTAGGCCTGCTGACTTGAGGCCTGGGCTCAGTTCGTGGGCAGGAGTCCTGGCCCACCACAGCAGCGTCTGCGTCACCACCACGGGTTGCTCCTGGGCATCTGCCAGCTCTCGGGAGGGGGCACTGCGTGTTGGCACCAACAAGGGAAATCCAGCCCACACAAACAAGGCGGGCTTTCATAAACACGCCCAACCCACTTAAGCCTCTCGGCAACTCTATCTCCATTTTACAGTAAGACACTGAGGTTCAAAGCACCATTCTAGTTAAGTCATATTCAATAGCATCTGGACTGGAATTCAGGCCTGGTCTGATTCCAGAGTCCCTTGCAAGTAACTCCCATGTGAAACTGCCACCTAGAGGCCACTC